ACCCCCCAAAACCACCCATCCTCGCTTCTCCCCGTCCCCACAGTGCTGGGGAAGGAGGTGGAGGGGGGGGACACACACGATGACACGTGTCCAGCTATAATTTATCAGCCTCATCAACGGGGCCGTTGGCCCTGATAGGAGCCCTGATGCTTTTCTGCCAAGATTAATGATGACCCGGAGGAGGTGGGCGGGAGGCCACCGGCTGCTTTGGTCACCATTAAGTGACACCCGGGGACTTTGGCCGGCACCGAGGGCTCCCTCCAGCCCTGGGCCACCACCTCCCGTCCCAGCCACAGCCTTTCCCTTCCCCCCGGGGGCCCTGGTCCGACCCGATTTTCCAGCTGGGGGGATCGGGGGCGCAGGAGATCCTGGGCTGGCGAGTCAACTCCGTGGCGAAGCTCGGAGAGGGATGGAGACATGGGGAAAGGCTCGTCCCCGCTCCCTGCTTCCCAAAGGACTCACCACTTCCAAAAGGCAACATTTCTGGGAGCCAAAAAAGTCCCTTTCCGGGTATAAAATGCCTTTCCTAGGGCAGGAGGAGCTTTGGGGATGCTGAGGAGCATCTCCCCAACTTCACCGGAGCTGGTGGGTGACTGGAGCACAGCAGAAGGAGATACAGCAGTGCCCGGCAGGTGCAATTAAGCCTTAAGATCTTGTGCTAATTAAAGTTCCCCCCACAAAGGAAAGGAAAAAGGTGGGAAACAAAAGGTCTCCACCCTCCTGAAGGTTGCAGGTGGGCCACGAGGTCCTCAGTGGCCACCGTGCCACCCGAATTTCCCCGACCCAGGGATGGAGAGCGCCTGGGGATGCGATGGGCGGCTTTGACATTTCCCAGACCACAAACTCTTATCTTCCATCTCACTCAACGACAAACAGGGCTGGTAAAGTCTCCTGGGGCGAGCAGGGAGGAAGGGCTTTGCACCCTCTGATGTGGCCCGTAAAGCCTTGGGGACACCCCAAAGGTCCCCATCTTCAGTCCCACGCGGGGACAGAGCTGCTGCCCGGTCACAATTTAGCTGCAAAACTGCAAAAAAGTGGAGTGAATCAGACTCCAGAGGAGAAACTGAGGCTCCAGGAGAGATTTTGGGGCGAGGTCTCCAGGCGAGAGTCAGCTGATGAGAAACACTCGAGGAGAAGGATCAGGAGGGGTTGTCTTTTTCCTGATGAAACAAGTCTTTTTGCTCAAGAGCCACCCTGGAGAAACACCTCTGCCGTAAACACCTGATTTCACCATTTCCACCAGCACCGGGCTCGCTGTGGGGGGACACACAACAGAAGCAGGGTCCTGCATCCCCCCCTCTTTCTCCACCACTGTCCCCCGGGCACCTTTGGGGGTGACACTGCACGACCCTCTGCCCATCAGTGCCATCCCATGGGGGACATCCCCGTGGCAGGGTGGGCACTGGAGCCACCACCACGGAGCCATCCTCGCTCCCTTTGAGCTTCAAAGCCAAGTTGGGGTTGGTGGGGGGGAGATTTATTTTCCATACTCGCCGTTGCCCCTCGTTTTTTGATTTCCCAGGGATTTGGACCAGGAATGGCTCTTTCTGGGGGAGCTGGGACGGGCAGGACCTGTTTTAGTGCCCTCTTCTGGAGGCTCCAACCCCTCAGCTCCACCACTGAGCTCCTGCCATCCCTCCTGGCACACACCACCTTCCCCAGTTTGGCCCAGAACCATTTCCCAGTTGGGCCACCAAAGCGCAAGCCCACGTCCGTGGAGGGTGAAGGAGGGAGATGCTCTGCTCCATCTTTCCCCCCCCAAAATGGGCTCCTCTACTGGAGGAGAAGGTGCCAGAGGGATGGATGCTGGGGATGGGTGGCACAAGGATGTGGTGCTGGATGCTGGATGCATCCGGATGCTGGGAGGGATGCTCCAGACAGGACATCTCTCCCTCTCCGGGGCTACTACATGGTGACGATGGGTGCCACCATCTTTGGTGAGGTGGAGACATCGTTGCCACCAGATGTAGGACAAAAGAAAAGCAAGAAGAAAGGGCTGGTTTAAGGCCAAGCAAGATGGAAAACCCTGAGTGAGGCTGCAAGCTGTGCCTGCAGCATCTCCAGGAGAACCCACATCTCCTGTAGCCCAGGAGAGGACCACGCCAGAGCCGTGGAGGAGCTGGGGGAAGTTCTCCGTGGTCCAGAGTCAGGCCCTCCCTGTTTCCACGAGTGTTTGCTCCTCTCCCTCGTGTGCTGCCTTTGCACCACGGGGCCAGACCCCATCGCTCAGCCACGCAGGGCTGGATGCACTGGCAGTTCCATCCATGTTCATCCCAAAATCTCATCCTTTGGCTGCTTTTAGGGCTCATGCCCCGCTCACCAGCTGCTCTGGGAACGGAAGAGATGGGCTGGAGAAGCCCAGGCTGGGATGTAGCAGTCAAATGGTTAAAAATGACCTTCAACCAACTACTTAAATACCAGCCTCCTCCGAAGCAGCGTCTGACAAAGGGCGATGGATGCTCAGGAGTCAGATGTTGGGGAAAAAAAATATCCTCTGCTTTTTTTTTCACTGGTCTTTTCCAGGGAGCCCGGGAAGAGCCGAGAAACTTGAGGATGGGATGGAGAGGGCACAGGATGGGGAGCCCCCGGCCCCCCTGCACCTGGGGGGACAAGGGGACATGGAGGGGATCTTCTGCAGGACACGTGGGTTTGGTGGCTGGACCCCTTTGGGTGCGAAATTTAGGGGTTGGAGCCGTGCATCCTGCTAATAAGGGGATTTTTGTGGAAAAAGGTGTCCCAGCCTCCCCTCCTAGCCCTGAGATGCTGTGATGGGGATACTGGTGTGTGTGGCCCCGGGTGATGGCTGTGGAGCCCCTTCCTCCGACCCTGCTGGAGATGAGGGGCCGGGAAAGAGCCCCTCTTTGCTGGCAGGGGGGTGGCTTCAACGCACGTCATTAAGGAACGGAGTTAATGAGCTGGAAAGCAAACCGAAGGGCAGAAATAACCCGCAGAGAAACTCGCAGCAGCCGCCCGCTCCGGCCAGGGCTGAGCATCACGGCCCCACACTGGGGGTCTCGGCCAGAATGAAGGGGGGGTGTGGGGACCCCAGAAACCCCCCTAACTGCCTCTCACCTCCCCCCCCAAGGAGGTGCAGCCGTGCAGGGGTGAGTCAGGCCGGCGCAGACACGAGAGGCACCGACCTGACCTGCCCATCGGGCTGTGCTCATGTGGTCCCCGGGCTGGGAAAGTTTTGAAATTTCCCTTCTCTGAGGCCACGTGAGCTGTAGCACCTCATGCTCCTTCCCGGGGGCTCCCTCCCTGGGGAAAAAACCCACCCCTGGCATTTTTTTCCCCGTGTCGGGGGTCCCACGGGTGACCCCCATCCCTCAGGGAGCATCCCATCGGGGATGGAGCAGTGGGAACGGTCCCAATTGCATCCTGGGGGGGGAGGAAGGGGGGGGAGAAGCTTTTTGGGAGGCGGAGGGGAGCTGGGAGTTGGCGGGCGTTGTGTCAGCCCGGGTTTGAGCAATCCCTTGCTAAACCATCGCCCCACGGCTGATCCGTATCTGCACGCTCCGAGGTGACAGTGATGCAATTCCCACAGCTTTTTTTTTTTTTGGGATGGGGTTGGGGGGAGGAGGAGGAGGAGGGAAACAGGGACGTGCCAGCGAGGACTCAGCCCAATTTCACCGCTGAGATCTCAAACCTTTCTTTTTTTTTTTTTTTTTTTTTTTTGGATGGGGTTGGGGGGAGGAGGAGGAGGAGGGAAACAGGGACGTGCCAGCGAGGACTCAGCCCAATTTCACCGCTGAGATCTCTCCCTGCTTCCCATCCCGCTACCCAGGCCGTTACCAACTGTTTTGCCAAGGATTTCTGCTGCTTTCCAGTCCCTCAAGGGGCTCCAGGAGAGATGGGGGGGGACTCTTGATGAGGGAGGGGAGCCCTAGGAGGAGGAGGAAGGGTTTGACCCTGAAAGAGGGGAGATGGAGCTGAGATGTGGGGAAGAACTTCTTTGGTGGGAGGGTGGTGAGAGCCTGGCCCAGGTTGCCCCGAGAAGCTGTGGCTGCCCCATCCCTGGAGGGGTTCAAGGGCAGGTTGGAGGGGGCTTGGAGCAACCTGGGCTGGTGGGAGGTGTCCCTGCCCATGGAAAGGGTTTGGAACAAGGTGGTCTTTAAGGTCCCTTCCAACCTGAACCATTCTGTGATTCTATGATTTAACACCCCACTGTGTCCCGTGTGAGGATTTGAAGTCACTTTGCACCAAAGGAGCATCCCCCAACCTGTGGCATTACCCCTACCCCTGGGAAAGCCCCTGGGGACATCATAGAGTTGTGAGCTGGTTGTTGGTACAGGAGGAGCTGGTAGCGGTGGTACCCGCTGCGGGGCGGGGGGGTCGGCCGGACGTAATCTGGGGGATGCAAAAGATAACGGCTGAGCATCCCCTATCTCCAACACCCCCCCAAAATCCAGGCTGGGATCTGCTTTCCCACCCAGCAACCCCCTCCTTGTGTGGGGCTGGAGGGAGAAAGTGCTCAGCCCCTTGGGTGTTTCAGCTGCCCTGTGCCCCCCTAAATCCCCCCTCTCCCGAGACCGACCCCCGCTTCTCTACACCCCCCTTCAGGTAGTTATAGAGAGTGAGAAGGTCTCCCCTCGGCCTCCTCTTCTTCAGACCCAACAACCCCATCTCCCTCAGCCTCTCCTTATAAGACTTGTGCTCCAGACCCCTCACCAGCTTCGTTGCCCTTCTCTGGACCCCCTCCACGCCATGCCCCATGCCATCCCCGACGTGGTATGGGGTGTGGGGTGGACATGGAGGGCATGGCTGCTCCTTACCCAGGGAGACCCACTCCTCGGGTCTCAGGGTGATGGTTGTGTGAGCTGGTTGTTGGTACAGGAGGAGCTGGTAGCGGTGGTACCCGCTGCGGGGCGGGGGCGTGGGCCGGACGTAATCTGGGGGATGCAAAAGATAACGGCTGAGCATCCCCTATCTCCAACCCCCCCCAAAATCCAGGCTGGGATCTGCTTTCCCCCCCAGCAACCCCCTCCTTGTGTGGGGCTGGAGGGAGAAAGTGCTCAGCCCCTTGGGTGTTTCAGCTGCCCTGTGCCCCCCTAAATCCCCCCTCCGGCACCCGAAAGGTGCACACTGGCAGACCTTCCTCTTCCTCCTCCTCCTCCTCATCCTCATCCTCTTTCAACTTCAGAGCCCCGGGGTGCTCCTTGCCTCCCAATTGAGCACCCCAACCTCTCCTCCATCACCCTGTACCCCCTCCCTGTCCCCCCACCCCATGCTGGGTGCAGCCTCCCCTGGGTAGGACCATGTGGGGGGACAAGCCTGAGACCCCCATCACCCATTCCAGCACCTCTTACCCTCCCAGCTGCCCCATGGGGGTCCGGGGTGCCCGG